CTTTTAAATAATACTTTAAAATAGAGAACATTACAACTCATTTCTTTACAACCTTGGAACAAAGTACCTGTAACAAATCATGAAGTAAAGCAAGGGAAATAAAGTTCGGCAGACGAGAACGCCAAACAGTAGCTTGTAAACCATATATATCCCTCTTTGCAAGAATATCAGCCACCATGTTGGTCTTACAAAAAATGTGGATTATGGACTACTCATGATTAAAAATACGACTTCTACCATTAGTTGCAATCATATATAGCTTCTAAGGAGACCGACAAACATTAAATTGCCGAGGCACTTATGTCAAGGTTGATACCAAATGATTAGGGTCATGTGGCCTGGACCCAAGTATGAAGTTTGACTTACTACGCAATGAACCATACATAAGGATTCTAACCCATAAGTGGAAACTACATTATCAAGCAATTTATGGTCATGCAATGTGGACCAAGTATGTAGGCAAAGATGTAAAAACTACATTATCAAGCAATTTATGGTCATGCAATTTGGACCAAGTATGTAGGCAAAGATGCCCATGTGGTTACAAAACAATTTATGACCGTGTGGCACGGGCCATACGGGGCATTATAGGAAGTGATCACTAAGGCACATATATGCCTGAGGTATGATCCTATGAAGACATGGTTTCACGAAGCATAAGCCATGAGGCATAAGTCACATGAACATCATCATTAGGTATCTAGTTTTTAAAGGCATGGGCCATGAAGCAAAGGTGGCATGAGACATGAGCCATGAGGCATTTGGTGGTCCTCATCTTCCTCTTCTAGGTCGTACCTTTGACAAGGGGCATGGAGTCACAAAGAAAATTGCCTTTTGAATAGTGTTATCAGGGCCTTTAATGGACCGGGCTGGACTCGGGCTTCTGAGTCAGGCATGTTGACTGGTTTCTAACGGGCTTCAAGGCGATTTGGGCTGCCCTTACAGACAATAATAGCTATCGGGCCAGGCCGGGCTTTTAACGGGGCAGGTCAGAATTTTGCCCAACAGGTGGGCTGGCTCGATAAGCCTGAAAATGGCCAGCTCGGTGCATAAAGCCCAGCCCTGCCCATTTAGCATTTTTATTTTTTATTTTTAAAACCCTAGCTCCTCAAAATTTTCTTGTTTTGAAATGCAAGGGACGAGAATAATACATAAACAAGCCATTTGCGTACTGCAACCTGCCTGGCTATCAAAATTCTTCACCTCTAGGGATAGAATCCAAAACTTTTCATCTCTAATGGAAAAAACAATTAGATTGCTCAACTCTGCTATTAGCTTGGGCCTCATGATTACATAGAGAGAGGATAATGGGTATAGACTATAGAGGATAATGGGTTAGAGAGAAAGGAAAGGATAATGGGCGTTGTGTAAATGTCCTCGCCAAAAATAGGAGCCTTCACAAAACCCCCAACATTGATCATCAACATTGATCATGTAACTAAATTAAGAGAGTGGATAATAGGTATAGACTATAGAAAGAGAAAAGAAAAGATAATAGGGTTGTGGAATCGTTTTTGCCAAAAATATGAGCCTTCATAAAACCCCCAACATTAATCATGTAACTTAATCAAATTTCTTTCATTATGAAAATCAAATATTCTAGATTTGGCGCCGGTGCATGTATCCCTTTTCTTTATAGACTCCCATTATCTCTCTTTCTCTAAATAAAAAAAGACATCAATGCACTTATCATTTTTCTGACCAACTCCTATTATCTCTTTCTCGCTCTCTAAATAAAGAAAAGCGCCACTGCACTTATTCCTTTCTATATTGACTCCTATTATCTCTTTTTCTAACTAAAGAAAGGTCTCAGTGCATTTTTCCTTTTTTTTATTGACTCATGTTATATCTCTCTTTCTAAATAAATAAAGGCACTGACTATCTATCACCAGAGCCCATGAGAGAGTTGATGCTAGTGATTCCCAGTATTTGCTTAGTGATCTACTGCATTAGATTGTTATCGTACATAATAATAAAAAAAAAGAGGCATTGGGCTCAAATTAAAGGTTTTTGGTGAGACATCCATTGCCTCCACATTTCCACGATATCATATCTTTTAGCTATGGGAATTCTCAGCTTACAAAGCTTAATCTGCAACTTGATGTAAAAGGTTTGCATGTGGAAGTTCTTGAACGGTACGAAATTTTGGGGCTTATTCATCATGCTCTCTTCGAGAAAAGAAATCTCCAAGACCCTCTCTCCAAATCAAAACTTGATACCCCTTTTTTTTTTTAAAACTCCACTATCTCTCTCTATAAACCCAATTTTTTTTTTTCTAAAACCCATTCTTAAAAGAAAGATCTATGTGATCTTTTGTCGGGAAAATACAATTATTATTTTTTAATAATAATAACCCCTTATATTTTTGGCAACAAGATCACTCACATATGGTCTTATTACAAACAATAGAAATTCCCAAAATAAATAACACATCAATAAAAAATAAATCTCAACTACTTGATACCATTCGTACAACCTAATATTGTGCTTGAGAATATAAAATAAAATAACAAACAAATAAAAGAAAAGTTGTCGGAGATTACCTCAACCTGTCTTTTTACACCCCATACCGAGTCACCACATCTAATGGCGCGGGATCAGTAGTCTAGCTTCAATCTCAAACCTGGATAGCTGATTTTGGCCAAACTAGGTAACCACCCCTTAAAATCTCTACTAAACCTTAACTCCCAAAATTAACTTAGGCCCCCTCTAATTTTTCCAACCTTCAAAATTAACTTAGGTCTAGAGAGGAGAGAAAGTACTACCTAAACTTTTGGAGAGAGAAAATTAGAGAGAGAAATATGGAGGAAAGAGAGTGGAGCGTGCCTGTCTAGGAGAGAGAGGTTATGGGAGAGAGAGAGGTTATGTAGAGATTGGGGGAGAGCACCCCTAGTTATAGTGAATATTTAGGTTTAGGGTTTTTTAGGCTTTTTCCATAGTTTGCTTCTTTCATGAGATTGAATCTAGACCATTGATCAAGGTGACTTGTGGGGTGAGAGATCTGAGCCATTCATTCCATAGATGGGTTGTCAACATTATGGAAGGTGCTTGAACCATTATCCCCATTTCTTTAAACCATTTTCCCATCAACATATTTAAATAAAATAAATATCATGCATTTTATGACACTTTTCTAAAGTTTAAGGTTTTGGTTGAAAATTGATTTGAAAGATGTATCAAATATTCACAAACAAATTGGGGTGGAGAATATTGTCATCTATCTCCATATTTAGCTTATTGTGGGATAGAGCATTATCTATCTTGCCCACATACCCATGAGTAGAATCGTTCTGCTAAACGAAAACATAGGCATATTGTTGAAACAGGCCCACTCACTACTGGAATCATGCTTTTGAATGTGTGGTTTTCTAATAAATAGACTCAAATAGACTCCTTTCTCTCGTTATTGGAAATGAGACACCCATTGGCAAGTTGTTTAAGATCACACCAGATTACTCATTTCTACGGGTGTTTGGTTGTGCATGCTACGCCTATATACGCCCACATAACTCACACAAAATGGACTCACATAGAGTTCCGCTCAGTCCAATGTGCTTTCCTCGGTTATAGTTCATGTTATAAAAGCTGCAAATGCCTTAACATGGCCAAATGGAAAGCTCATCATTTCTCAATATGTAATTTTTTATGAAAATAAATTTCTTTTTGCAGGTCTACAAGGAAAGTCACCCTCTTCCATTACTAGCACATTTGCGCAGTCTCTCATACCAACACTACTTGGCCTTGCTCTGATACCATAATAGAAAAATCAAATATTTTCAAGAAGTCTCTATCTTACTTTCTTGAACTTTACCGTGAGATGAGATTATATATTTATAACACAAGACATGCATTTGGATATACGAACTTGTGAGATGAGATTATATTTATAACACAAGATATACAATTTTTTGATATACATGGGATGTGTAGTTAGAACAATATTTTGAATGGTTTTGATTTTATATTTGTTACAACAACTATTTGAATGATGTTGACCAAAATATTCAGGTTAACCCAAAGATTTGGATAATTATGGGTTATCCCTTTACACTAAAAAACCCCATCTCTCTTTCTCTCTCTAAAAAATATTTTAGCATATATTTTTTAGCTTACTACTAAGAAAAGTTTGAAGAGTGAGATAAAATAAATTTAAAAATGAATAATAAATTTTTTCTTTTTTAAAAGAGGTTTCTTAATGGGCCGGCTCGGCCAGACCAATAGAGTCTTAATAGGCTATTAACGGGCTTCAGCCCGGGCTGGGTTTCACATGGAAAATTTGGGGCCAGGTCAGACTAGGCTTTTCCTAGTTTATTTCTAGGTCGGGCCTTACCGGTCTGGGTTTGGACAAGTCCGGGCCTCGGGCCGGCTTGGCACAGACGTGGTCCATTGGCCGCCCTAATTTTGAGCCATCCAATTGTTCGTTCTAGTAGTATATTGTATGGTTCGACTTCTTGCATATTTGATAATTGATTGCTCCTTGGGCATCATTATTGAGGTTTACTCTAATTTGGATTGTGAAATAATTGTGCACCACATAGGGAGGTAACCAAACTCTCAATATTTAGGTTTATTCAATAATTTCATTAAAATAAATATTGCATTCATTGGATTTGCACAAATCCTAACAATTCAATTCTTCGAATCACCGTTCCAATCGATTTAGTTAAGGACAAAATTTAAAATGGTTATGGGTCTCTAATCCCTACTTAGAATAAATAATGATCAAAGGAGACTTATCTAACCATATCTAATAGTTGAACTATTTAACATCTCACCATATTTTTCGATCCAATTTCCAATAATCTCTCATTTCCTAATCGAATTTCAATTAATCCCTGAAATGAGGAAGCTTTTTAAGCTTATGAAATCGTACAACTTGAAAGGTTAAACATTTCAAACTTGAAGGCATGTTTGCATGCAAAAGGCGTGTTTGCATGCAAAGTTCTATGTGCATACGCACGTGAGAACAGCACATCATCCAAAAATTCACACGCATCTAATTTAAGGGCAATCCTTTACAGAGGGATTAAACGGGAGCTTCATCTTCATCTCTTTCTCTGTCTCTAATGGCTTTTCTCTCTCTATCCAATGGGCTCTCTTCTTCAAACAGGCTCTCCTCCTCGTCTCTCTTCTTCCCTTCAACCTCTAATTTACACTCAAAGAACCTTCATTTCCATCATTTCCTGAAAAAGCAACCCTCAGTCCCGCATCGCAGGGCCCTCACTGTGAAAGCCATGGCTCCTCCAAAGCCTTCAGGAAAACCCAAAAAAGGCAAAAAATTTACTGGGTTTTTAGTCTTTCGCTTCTTCTACTATTCTGTAGCTCAGAAATGAGAGAATCCATCGGCTTACATGGATTTCTCTTGTGATATTTGTTTCTCATTTTTATTCAAATTGGGACGTGAGAAAATCGAATGGAATTCGTAATTTCAATTTAATTTTAACTTTCTCAATGACTCGTTGTATTTTAGAGGTTTTAAAGTGAGAGAATTGAAGATTATGCATGAATTTTGCTTGATTTACTGTCTCTATTCATTATTAATTCTCTGAGTTGTAGTGTGAGAGAATGGCGTTCACTCTTTTACCCGTATTTTGGTTGCAGTGATTGGGATGATAAAGCTTGCCCTAGAGGCTGGGAAAGCAACTCCTGCTCCCCCAGTTGGCCCTGCTCTGGGTTCAAAGGGAGTAAATATAATGGCATTTTGCAAAGAATACAACGCTAAGACTGCTGATAAAGCTGGCTATGTCATTCCCGTGGAGATTACAGTCTACGATGTGAGCCCCCTGCACCTGTCTTTTCTCTCTCTATGCTCTCTTTCTCTCTCTAACATTTTAGCATTTTTCTTTAGTTCTTCTGCTAATAAGGGCTTAATTTTAAAACAACAGTGAATGGAAATTGTTTTCTAATCTGCTATCAGTGCTTTTTCTAAGTATTATAATTTGTTGTTCTTCCTCCCATTTCCTCCTCTTTTCTTTTTTTTCTTTCCTTTTTGATTTATATCTTCTTGCTTGTAATGAACAGGATAAAAGTTTCACATTTGTTCTGAAGACCCCTCCTGCCTCAGTTCTCCTTCTTAAAGCTGCTGGTAAGTGATTTAATAGTCCTCCACTGTTGGATACTTATGAATCAAGCTTCATCAAGTTAGTAGTGTTATAACTCGAAAGCATGGATATACGAATCGTGATGGTTGTCAAATTCAACAATGATTACAAATTATGGAATAGATGATGACATTAGTGATCTGAATTTTGTTTATACTGGGATAATCAACTGAGATTCTTTTGTAAGAAGAGCATGAATCACATCATCTATAGACATTCAGTTTCTGAAAACAATAAAACAGATGCGTGCTGTCTCTCAAGTATCCGCTCTCTGCAAAAGCTAGTATGCTTGCAGCGCTCCCCTACTTGACACCTTTTTCTGAATCTGTGTGAACTAACTCCTTTTTTCCTCCACCCTCTGCAATTTGAACCATTGGTCATTGCATAAAAATGGAGTTTTTTTGAGATGTATAAGTGAGATCCTTGTGCATCTATCCTCCAGTTTTCCATGATGATTCTTATCTTGGTGTCCAAAACTATATGTATATACTTTTAGAGAAAACTTCCCATGATAAATGCCAAATTCAGTCTTACTCCCATCAACAACTCTTTACAAGTGGTCCCCACTAGAGTGGGCAAAGAGTGACCAATGATCCCTGCCAAAAGAGGACCTGACCTTAAGGTTTTAGATGAGTCACAATTTGTGAATCATGGGAAAACAGAAACACAAACAAGTGAGCTAACATATACCTCGCATTAAGCACTTGCAATGGGCATTTGAATGCTAACTTAGAAAATGAGAATGAAGATATAGAGCTTTAATCTAGGCTTATTGATCTATAATACAGATTCTATCTGGATTTAATGGTGAACCAAAGAACATTTAAACAGTTTTAGAATGTAGCAGGGTTCTATTAGGCTTATCCAAAACTAGTCTTTTGGAAGACCTAACCGGGCTGTTCTTTACTGACTTTGAAACCCTTTCTAAGTATTGCACCTGAGCTTGTAAATCAAAATTTTAAAACATAACAAAATTACTCAGAAATTGCAGAGATTTGGATTCTTGAAGTTGCAGGTTTTTTGTATTATGATTGTTGGGGTTAGGGATCACTCATTGCCAAACCCTAAACTCTCATTGGGATGGTCAGCCCCTTGTCTAGATAGTGGACACAAAACATGATGATCCAGGTAAGTGTGAATTCAAAAATGTGGTTTAAGGCTTGATCAACCTGGAAACAATGGTGGCTGAAACCACCACAAAATCCTTGTATCATGATTCAGAATTAGACTTCAAATCAGATTTAAAAGGGATAAGACATGATCAGAACCCAAGTGCTGCGAATTAGCATATAAAATTAAAACGAAGAAAGCAGTTCACACATCATATCAACTATCAAGCATGACAAAGTGATACTAGGAGGGGCTTAAAGAGCAGACTAAGACCAAATATTCTGGCACTGAGAAGGGAAAAGTTTGAATACTAGTCATGACAAATATCAATCAAATACATTTGGAACATGTTTCTAAACAAAATGTAAGAAAACAAGGTGACTCTGACTTGGACTCACCCTAAGTACCAGGACTTGGCAAGTTGCCGATGCATGCGAGTTTCAGTGGCACAGGTTTTGGTTGATATACAATGGCGTGTGGATCACCATGTTTTTATGATCTATTAACTTTCTAAATTCCATGGTTTCCTATATATTTTATGGTTCACAACTTTGCACACCTTATGAATTGTGACTTGTGTCTGGTTTCAAAGAAAGGCAACAAGAGAGGGCAAGGAGAGAGAAGGAAGAATTTGAATCTCGTATGACTTAAGATGGTATATTACACCACAAACAGGATGTGTATTGAATTCGGTAGTTGACTTCATAGAAAGTGCAAGATTGCCTTACCTCTGAGAAATGCTTCCTATTCGTTTCTGCTTTTCTGCACAGGTTTCAGTGCACCTACCATAGGGGAGTTGAGAGCATAGTTACCAGGATCTCCTACTTTGGTAGGCGATCCCTTCTAGGATCTCGATGATCCCTATGAGTGGAATTTGAAGAGAATAAGAGTCCATAAAGTCCCCAATGAATGTATCTCTCATTGTTCAAAAACCTGCTTGCCCGGTGCCTAGGCAGCCCCCTAGGCCATAGGCTGCCTTGCCTAGGCTAGGGTAGGCCTTACTGGACAGAAGTTCTTGGGCGGGTTAGGCAGGCACTCAACGCCCAGTCTTGGGTGGATGCCTAGGAACTTACATAAAAAAGGTGAAATGTTTTTTTGTGGGGCCATTATGGGTCATGTTGACCGGTGAAAAGGGGATATTCTAAGCCCCCAAAGTAAAAAAACTCTTCTTATGCCCTAGAAACACCAAAATTGATCGATTTTGCAATGATTATTGGAACCAGAAAATTTTGAAAAATTTGTAGAATAATCTGAAACCATACTATTTATTATTGCAATCAATTTTAGAGTCTAAAGGACATTCTTGGAAGACTTTTGGGGTGATTTTGAGCTTGTTAGAAAACTGAAACATTTAAGAGAAACATCCAAAGCATTGTAGAATTAAAGATCTCCTTTTACTTCTCATTTGTAGAGCATCTGCTGTACAACATCATTTTTTATTGGTCATTTTGTCTCATTGGAGAGTTGGAGTCTATGAGTATGAATGTATGTATTATGGATTATAGAATATTGTGTGTGGACACTAAATCACTAATACAATATGTACTTGTTTTTATTTATTTTTTTCATTATTTTAGTTCTTTAAAGAGGCAAAATTTTCAGTGATTTGAACGTGTTTCAACATTCACATGCATATATTTGTATAAAGGAGTTACAAAGAATTCATATAAATGCGCAACACATATATGTATATATCACACCTTTGGGCTCTTGAGGTTCTGGGCGGCTGCCTAAGCGCTGGGCGCCCCAGCCACCACCCCCACCCCCCCATCCCCTGGGCGCCTAGGGGCTGCCCAACATGTTTTAAAACCTTGGTATCTCTTCACCATATATCACTACTCGTTTGTGAACTCTTACTCTATTGATAATAAAATGTCCAAGAGATTTTCAATGACAATTCTTATTTATGTTGATTCTTGGGTTTGTGAATTTGGAAAAAGTTAAAAGGACTGTTAAATGGAACTCGCTCGCAAATGATATTCAATGGATAATTGAACTTTGGGAACCTCAATACTAACATGGCCGGATGGAGATCGCATCCCGTAAGGGATCTACTCCTTTGCAGATATGGAACTCGATACCTAGAAGTCAGGGGTCTCATTCCTTATATTTTCCTAGGTATGGAACTTGTTCCCTTGGCCATGGGTTTTGCAACTTCCTTGCTCTGCACTTCCACTCCCGATCTTGGAGCTTTTATTGCTCTTGCACCAGTTAACCATGCTTCGTATCATTAATATGGCTAGATGCACCAATCATCTTCCCAAATATTGTCCCATTGAATGATTCACGGAAATGTTATAGGACTTCCCCCCTAGTAGTCCGTGAGTTTGTCTTTTTTATGACCTCATACTTCCCCGTTGCATCCTTTTGTGCCTTCAAGTATTCGTTTGTGCGCTCCACCTCTTTTTGAAGTAATGCTTCCTTGAGCTCATAAGGTGTAAGGGCCTTCAACTGAGCTCCATTGCTTCCAGCACAACTGGGAAGCTCTTTAAGCTAGCTGCATCAAAAGAAATGCATGCTCAAAACATCCACTAGACTATGTGCTGATACATCCAATCCCTGCTGTCCACCTTAAAGCAGTTCTCTATGGTAGTCTACTTCCTATCTTGAACTGACGCCTCACAATTAGTGGGAAAATTGGAATCAAGAGGCCCCTTTTGTCAAGCCCTCCTCGGCATATAGATACTCATCTTCTTCTTCTTGTCAATAAATATTCATCAACTTCACAATTTCCTTATATTTGTTCTTCTTCTTTTAGACAGCCTCCAGATGGGTTGACATCTCTCAGTTGACCTTAGGCAGAAGCTTAATGAATAGGGCTCTAGTGCCCACAAAACTTTCATGTATATTTATGCTTGCATTATAGATCTTTTACCAAAAATTTGCATCAAACCTATTTTTATCATTTTGATTGGCAATAGTGCACATTTCCAACATGGACCAACTTGTTTAGTTGAATTGGTAGACAAGATTGCCACCTATTCAACAAACAACCCCCTAAACCTGAAACATTGACAAACCACCAAATCTAGTCTTGAATATATATACTTAGAGTCTAGGATGCAACAAATCATCATCATCATCATCATCTGATCCTTATCCTAATTATTTGGGGTTGGCTACATGAATCTTGTTCCTCCATTCTTCACTATCAAGAGCCATACCTTCAGTAAGATCAAAAGTCACCATATCTTATATTGCTACTTCTATCTATGTCCTTTTGGGCTTTCCCCTTGTCCTTTTAGAGCCTTCCCCTTAAACCAAATTTCAACCCCTAATCGGTGCTGTATTAGGTCTATGTTGTACATGGTCAGCCGACCTAAGTTTACTTTCTCTCATCTTATCGCCTATTGAAGCCACATCTAAGTTCTCTCGTATGTATTCATTTTGAATTCTATCATTTCTTGCCTTGCCACTCATCTATCTCAATAATTTAATCTAGCTACGATCATGCTATGGATATTTTGTCTTGACCATCCAACATTCTGTCCCATAAAGTATGGCTGGTCTTAAAGCCGTCTTATAGAACTTCCCCTATAGTCTCAATGGAATGCGGCAATCATATCATATGGGGGTGTTGACCTGTTGACCTACCCTTATTGGGTTTGGATTGTGATCCCACTCCTAGGTCGAGATCGCTTTTCCAGTGCCCAATTTAGGCGACCTTAAGGTCCCACATTACAGTATAATGATGTGAGAATCATAAATACAACTACTTTATACTAAGTAAAAGGGATAGTTCTTAATGGGAGCCTCTTAGGTATTTTTAGTGATTCTGACTGTTATTCAGAATCCAACTTGCTGAACAAATTCAAATGTATTAGCAGGAAAGGATTAAGGGAAATAGGGAAAAGGTTTATGCATTATGGGTTGTCCTTAAATTGCCGCTTCTATCCAACTAGAACCATTTTTTGTTTTCTCTAACATAGTTTTTATAACTGCCTAAGGTCTTGTACACTGTCAACAGAAAATTACTGCTCCTAGAGGGTTTGTGAATTGAGTTTTTTAGTGTTCATCAACTTGAGATTAAAGGAACAGGAACCTAGCCTCAAGCCTTGTATGTTGATGGGGAAATAAGGCATTTATTGTCCTAAATAGAGATATAGAGCTCTGCTTCTTCTTTTGGACGTATGTTAACTGTCTTAAGGGCTAAAGGGACTTGACTGCTTCCACTTTCATCCAGTCAGCTAGCTATTAACTAATTGATTGAATTATTTCCTTCAGTCTTGTTTTTAAGAAACTAGAGGTTCAAGATGAGAGAAACTAATGGATTCTACTCGCAATGGAGTGGGTGTGCTGACTTATTTGACTAAACAATTGGAACTGATAGAGCTTAATCTAATGTATTTCCTGGAATTTCAGCAGAGTTTCTCTTATTCAAAGGAGTTCCAAAAATTTATTTTCTTTTGGGGCTCTAGATTGCTCTTAAACTCAAGTCATGAACTTGGCCTGCTTGTGCATGTTGTTTGCAAAGTCATTAGAAGTCTGCACTTAATTTAACTTGGTTCCTACCAACAGTATTAGGGTTTCAAGGCTTCTGAAAGGGCTTAGGTCTTCTACTAGAGTTGGAGAGTTGATGTAATCAGGTAAAAGACATCTTAGAAAGTAAGCAATGGCTGAGAGTAATGTAGGGATTTGGGTCTGAGATTAATTCATTGAAAACTGCAAGTTGCAAGTGGTGCTCAACTTACATTTTCAGTGTTGCTTCAGATTTCTTCAGCGTCTATTACTGAGTTATGGGTGAAAGGTAAGGCCGAAGTTGCAGTTAAATAATAGTCTCGCCTCAAATTCTGCTGTAGTGTCCTGAAATTCCCAATTGAACCAGTCTATCTTATGTGGATCTGCAAGACAAACACTGATGATTTCATTTTCCAAAATCAAATTTCTTGTGTGACTGTCTCATGAGATAATTTACGGTGGTAAGGGTGGTTTGAGTTTGAATTTTCATTTTATGGCTAACTAGGACATTGATAGGTGCATTTTTGGTAATTTTTTTATATGGTTTCTTAGGCTTGAGATGCCTTTAAAGGTTTTTTATGACTTTTCTAGTATCTCCTAGTGATTTCATGAGCTACAGTTTCATCGATAAGCTGACTGGTTAGAATGGTGAGGTGAGATTCTATAGAGGACAAACAGGTTTCATGATTTTGGGTAACTGCTGTTTCTCATGTTAAACATTTATTTGCAGCATCCAAATGGATAAATGTCCCATACTCTTAAGACCCTTCATACAGGAATTTCAGAGTTGTGAGATTTGGTCTGCAGCCACCAAGGATGTCTCAAATTATTGCAAAATGGGTGCCTAACGGATGCATGTTAGTTGGTGTAAGACAGGGCCGGACGTAATTTTAGTTGGGCTATTGCTGAAATGTGGCTCACTTCTTTACTATGTTGAGCCTGTTAACCAAATTTGGCTCAATATATTGAGACTAGGCGTATTTCCCCACAAGGGATATTCACTTGAATATGGTTAATTTCCACCGCCTGTTCAACTGGAACTGTTCAACTGGAACTGATGATGTATACCTTCACGGTGTACCATGTACCGTACACTATTGGTGGACAGTGTACTTTTCATTGGAATTATCTCAGGCCTCTTGCATGTTCAATTATGCCTGCTGGTATATGGAAATTTTTTACCTGCAAAATTCTTTTTCATTTGTAATCATGCATACTCATGCACAGCAATGCATGCATGCTTGGTTATGGGCATGCAAAAAGGCTTGCCCTTGCAATCACTGATGTCCACGCATAGCTCAATTGCTGGACTTTTGAATCTCTCGTATGATCCATCATGTAGGTATCATGTGCTTGATACATGCGTGCTTTTGGTATGCACATCTTTCTTTGATCTTGATGCTGTGTATTTGCCTATTTGTAGGAAATTGGCCGAAACCTATTTGTGAATTGAAATTGAATGAAATTTTGGGTCTTTATGCATGCACACTTGGGGGGAAGATGTTGATTATGGTTCTTTGTTGTCCATGATTTCTGTAATGTTCAATGCTTTTGTGATTTAGGAGTGGAAAAGGGATCAAAAGACCCAAAGTTAGAGAAAGTTGGGAAAATTACGATAGATCAATTGCGGGCCATTGCAACTGAGAAGCTCCCTGACTTGAACTGCATGAGCATTGAGTCAGCAATGAGGATCGTTGCAGGCACAGCTGCAAATATGGGTATTGACATTGATCCTCCTGTTCTTGAACCCAAAAAGAAGGTTCTTTTATAATGCCCATAATTCTTACTTAGCCCATGTAATTTTTTTTATAATAACAATCAGCTTGTTTATGAGGATGAAATGATCAATTTTGTTGTAGCATTATGTAACATATGATTATTGCAATGCCATTATTGTAGTTTGTTCATGGTTTGGATCTGTTATTAACAATGACCAGGTCAAGGAGGCTCAACGTTGAAATGTGCTTGCTTAGGCATATTTGCTGCTTCACCCATTTATTTCTCCATGTTGTTGTTGTTGGCTGTTTGTATTGATTCTGTCTTTCTCAATTCTCTTCTATTGTAAAAAGGAAGAGGAATTATCATGTTTTCTATGTGCGCGAAGGAATGCAAGCCCTCGTGGAGTTCATTCTCGATTTCTCAGAAGGTTGGTATTATCCCTCAGATCTTTTTTTAAAAAAATATACTAACAAAGGACCCATTTACTCTCTACAAGATTGGGAACCCTAAACAAGTATGCGTGTTATGGTAATCTAGGTCTATTTAAGTAGGTCAATCCGAATAGTGATGTTTAATGTTTCAACATGGAACACGGTTTACAATTAGAAATAATAAAGGAGTTGTTAACCTTAAACAATGAAGTGTATTTTTATCATTTTGCAGTTATATGTTGCTAGCGTAATCAATGGTATTTTTATCTCTTGATTTGGGCCACTTAATTGAGCAAAATTATGAAAAATTGCCTACTTCTTGAGGGTTTCCAATGCTAAGAAATGCAATTTGGTCATTTTTTTGCCATGTATTTAAGGAGGTACCTAAGTAAATAAAATTTAAATTGCAACACTGGTGATCTTAAATGGGATGATTGACCACCATAATGATTTTGCAGGGTGGTATGACCATCTAATCGGTATTCTCTTACAGTTACATGTCATACCTACACAATACAATCCAAAAAAAAAACAGTTACAAAGGTTGTAACACTTATCTGATGAAAGTTGCAGCCCCTCCCTTTTTATTATCATCCTTTATAGCAATGATCGTAATTTGCTTTTTTAGTTTCGCCCAGTAGGTCCGTAGTATTTCCTCAACACGGTTCGTATTGTAGTCAAGTGAAATCACTTTATACATGCTCTCCTTGGATTCCCATATAAGCTCCAATCAAAAATTAATTTGATAAACCCCATTTCATTTACCATCCATACATTAAAGATATGATTCATTCTCATTTTCATCGTAACCACCTCTTTCATTTTGTACATTAAATCCATCATTGATAATCGCCAAAACTGCTTTCATATAGAGCCCCATTCTGCAATTTATTTTGAACCTTGCTCATTAATTACAACATTAACGCTTTTTGGTTTAGCTCTTACCATATTTCCCATATTTCACTGCACCTTAAGCAAATTTCCACAATGTCTATCCACCAATGCCAATATCTGGTATTTCTCACTGTGTAAAGATCTGAGTGGCTTGAGTCACCATGGATAATTGAATCTCCAGTTTATTTCTTATCCAATCGCATATATGTCTTACATTAAGGATATTTCTCAAACAAATGATCTATAGTTTCTTCGTTCTCTTTATACACTTTAATTGTCAGCAGTTTTTTTAAGCACAATAACCATATAAAACATCTTAGTATCTTACCTTATATGAGGGGGCTCCACATTCCTGCAAGTCTCAGGTCACTCCATTAGCATCTTTTATTAAACAACAACATGTATGTCGAGGTTACTGTAAATTGGACTTTTGGACTGGATCTCAAATTATGTTATCCGCATTCCTTGTGTAGTAAACATTGCATATATTCCATCTCCCACCAGCACCCTCATATTTATTAGGAATAACTCCTTGTGAGCTATATTGATTTCCCCATCAACTCACATTTTTTTTTTCTAATACTGTTTGCCACAATTGTTCTCCTTCATTAGCACAAGTCACCACCATTTCTTAAGTAATGCATTTTACATCCTTTTTAACCTTTTAACTCCCATACCACCATCTTGGACAGGGTTATATACCTTATTCCAATTTGCCAAACTGAATTTTCTAGTCTCCCCTATCTCCCCCATGGGAATTTTCACTTTTAGCTTTCTAACTTCTTTGCAATGTCATTGGGCATTTTTTAAGAGAGACATAGTAAATGGGTAAAGCCCACCCCAATCAGGTTTGTTTTCTTTAGATTAACCTTCAAAACAGTCGCAGTTTCAAAGTAGCATAAAAACCTTTATAGTATCACCGTTTCACTCTCATTAGCATCACAAAATACCAAATTATCATCTATATACTGCAAATGTTATGCCTTTCTTCCCCCATACTTGTTGCTTGGAACCCATTTAGTAAGCCTGCTGCCTGCTTTATCCACAGTCTCTAGCATTTTGAATGTCTCAGCCATCAGTGTGAATAAAATAGGAAAGTAGCCTACTCTTCGTACACCTCTCGTGGCTCTAAAAGACCCTTGCGGTTGGCGATCGATCAAAACTAAAATGTGAACTGAAGATAACAACCATTTTTCCATCTTCTCCACTTAATTCCAAAGCATATTTTTGCCATTATCTTCATTAAAATACGCCAATCTAGGTTTTCATGGGGCTTTTTTAAGTCTAATTTATATATCTCACCAGCCTTATTTTCATCTCTTCTTGAACTAGTGCATTCTTGTGCGTTTACAATAGTGTTTGCAAAACCGGCCGGTTAGATCGCTATCGGCGGGGTGGTGACTCCGGTTAGGGACGGTTTTGGTGGTCTACTGGTTAGTTAGATGGTGAGCTCCGAAAATTTGGATACAAAAACCAGTCGGTTAGCCCTTGAACCGGCGGTTTTTTTGCAAAGCTGGCAGGTTTTTGCCAACCAGACCGGTTAGCCTATATAACACCCAATATAACGTAAATAACGGTAGAGTAGTAAATAATGACCGTTATTTGACACAAGCCCCGTTATTTTTAACGGAAACCGTGAATAAGCTTTTGAAGCTTTTTTTTTATTCCATTTTCCAGTGCTTTTTGTTTTTGTCGATGAATTATTGATGTTGTTCACCGGATTTTTTTTTATAAATCATCGATTATTGAATCAAAAATAAAAAAAGAAAGAGTTCTTGGCAGATTGAAACGGGGATTTTTTAAAATTAGAAATTTTCGCCTTTTTATCAAATGCAGTTTCAATACCTCATGGATTTTTATACAAATGTCGGGCCTTGATTTATTGTTGAAGCCTTAAATGTTTACATATTTCAATTTTTCCAAAACGACGAAGATTTAAGGTTTTTTGGGCTTGAAGTACTGTTGCTCGAAGAACTGCTTTTTATCCAAACAAATTGATTTTTGATCGATCAATTGATCGATTTTTATTGAATTGATCAGTGCAGTTTGATCATCAAGGCTTCATCTATCAAATAAACTAGGTATGTTGATTTATTATTGATTAAATGTTTTTAGATCGATTTATTTTTGCTGCGTTTTTTTCTGGAAATTTTAGTGAAGTGAAAAATCCGCTATTTTTTGAAGAAAAATCTCAATAGTGAATGGATCTTCATGAAATTTGGGGCATTTAAATCGTAATGGCAATATCTATCATATCCCCATTTCAATTTATTTAAAAAATGGAAGATTTGGAGTCAATTTGGACTCTAAAATTTATGTGTTCTTGATGGTTTTGGCTCGATTTTAGGGTTTATTAAAAAAAAATTGTTTTTCAATAAAAATTATGTTTTTTTAAATGTTATATATTTGTGGTGTGCTTGTTGGATTTTTTTTAATGATATATATATATATATATATTCTTTCTTTTTAATGTTATACATTTTTGGTGAGTTTGTTTGATTGTTTTTAATGTTATATAATTTTTTTTATAAAAATATGTTTTTCATATTAAAGTTGCAAGCTGCTATAATTTTTTTTTCATCTTAATTCTACATTTTAAGTTGCATGTCTACGAAAGGCACAAATTCTGTGGCAAAACAGGTTAATGTTTTTTTATCTTAATTCTACATTTTTTTGTAAGATAAATATATGTAATATGATAGTATACACTTAATCTAAAATTTTCTATTTTTTTTTTAAATGTTTTTAGGTGTTTTTGACCCTTTTTAAAAAAATAAAAAAATCTACTTGACCTGTTAGTCCGGTTAACCGCTCCGATTAGTTCGGTTCTGGTTCAAACCGCTCCCAACCTCTTGACCGGTTAACTGTTCCGGATATATTTTACTAACAGTGATTTAGAATGGTGTTAATGATATACCTATCTATTATACAAGCCAACTGTGGTCTAGAAATCACCATTTGTAGCATTTCTTTTAATCTCCTAGCGAGCATTTTTGGGTGGTCTTATATAGAACTGTAAGTAAACTGATTGGCCAAGCATCATTCAAACCTTCAATGGCTCCCTCTTTTGGAATCAAAGTCACAAAAGTAGCATTGATACCATTGTTTACAATAATTCTGATAAAATTTATCCATCATTCGTTACACATCATTCTTTGACCACCTCCCAAAACTAGTGAAAAACCTCAATCAAACTAGGGGCCCTATCCCCAAAATAGACCGTAACTTAACGTCTTCAGAAAATGTCCTTTTTAGCCGCTCACTGCTCTGGATCTTATTAAAGTCAGACTCTAGTATTTTCATGGCAGTAAAGGCCTTCCTATAAAGCTGCACTATGACATTCTCTACCCCCTCTTTATCACCATCTTAGATGTCTCCTACCTTCTTTTTAGCATTTGCAGTAGCATTAAAAAAATTTGTGTTCAAATCCCCTCCTTTAATTGTCTCCAGTTCATTTTTTCATGGTTTAAATACGTATGCAATTCATTGTTCAATTTATTCCTTATCCTTGCAATCAATATCTACAATTTTTTTCATTCTCCTCTGTTTTCCATTTCAAGTTATTTTGCTTGTCATTTCTATTCCACCAATCAATGTTCCAAAAAATTCTGGGTGATGCCTAGGTGGTTATGAGGTCCTGGCTGCCTAACGCCTAGGCAAGCGACTAGATTTCTGGGCAGCCTAGGACCTAGTTTGAAGAAGCAGGGCAAGAGACAGGGGAATATGAGTATACATCATGATTAATAAAATATTAAAAATCCCATAGTTCAAAGTTTCAAACCATTGTAAATTTTTAGTAGACAGAATATTAGCACAATGTAAGATAAAATAATTTAAATTAGTAATAATGGCACAATCCATAATCCATATTCCATATTCCATAGACCATACTCCATGGTCCATAGTTTATACCATTCCATAATCCATAGTACCGTACAATGGTTCAACCATACATGCATTCACGTAAGAGTAGATCAGTAGAAAATAAGAACTATAAAATATACAGTCTAAGACTCAAGAGTCTAAAATCTTCAGTCATCATCAGAAAAAATGGGGTAAGCCTCATCATATACAATGGAGTCGAGTCAATCATCATCAAAATTATCTCCTTCGTCAACATAACGCTCGTACTTCATAGCTTCTTTTGAATCTGCCTCTTCTTTCTTTTCTTCTACCCCCATCTTATTCTATGCAGATGATCTATAGGCCCCAGGAGTGTTGGCTGCTTTACCTGGTGCCTCTTCAATC